CTGGCAAGGAACTCATCTCTAAAATATACAGATAACTCCAACAACACAACAAGAAAAAGACAAACAACTCAAATACAAAATGGACAGATGACCAGAAAAGACATTTCGTCAAAGACATCCAGATGGCCAAGAAACACGCAAGAAATGTTACAGTTATTGTCGTTTGTCGTTGAGTTGGAACCTTCCAGCTTATTATCAGAGGCAGTATATTACACAGGAGGAGACTGCCCATCCTTCTCCCATGAAGAATCTGGTGGATCTGAACCATGTACTTTGGAATTGCCGTGCAGCTTCTTACCACTAGATCACCCATTAGGTCTTGTTGTTATGTGCCATCGAGTCAACTACAACCCATAGCACCCCTATGAACAAGGGCTCTGAACCTTACCCTATCCCGAGAAAACCTCTCCATCTCTAACACGCCTGACCCCATTGCCACAGTCAATGTATCAACTCATCTTACCCAGGGTCTTCCTCTTCTGCATTAACATGTTGCTGCACACTTATAAACTGACGACCACGCTTAGAAACAGGTTTTTGGTGTGTGTTTTTTTCCTATGTATTACCATCATTTGTGGCAATGTGTTAACTCTCTTCCCTTCCAAGCATGATGTCCTTCTCCAAGGACTGGTCCCATCCGGCCATGTGCCCAAAGTATGTGACACAGAGCTTAAAAAATCCTTATCTCCAATAAGCAAACTGGTTTCGCCCTAAGACAGAAGTTATGCATCTGAAAGTTGGACAATGAATAAGGATGACCGAAGAATAATCAATACCTTTGAACCATGGTGTTGGAGAAGAGTAATGAATTATCCCATAGACTAGCATGATGAAAATATTCCATGACAATAATAAACAAATAATGTCTTGGAGGAAGCAAAATCACTTATATCTCTGTAAGACATTAGCCCTTGGAGAGATGCAAATCAACACAATACAGTATCAACTCACATCAGAAAACAGAACAAAGTTCAACAAGACAAAAAACAACAAAGGCCAGCAATGATGTGAAGACTGAAACATCTGTACACTAATTCTTGTTGCTGTGTGCTTTCATGCTGGAACAAGCTCATAGCTAACTCACCAGAAGGTTTTCAGAGGTAATACAGGAGAACACAGGAGGAGATTACCCAACCTTCTGTGGAACAGCTGGTAGATTCAAACTATGTGCCTTTGAGATTACAACACTGCTTATTCACACTAGGCCACTAGAGTACTAGTGGGAATTCAAGATGATGTAACCATTATGGAAAGCAGCTTGGCACTTCCTTAGAGAGTTGTGAATATTTGATCCAGCAATCTCACTACAATGTATATATGCCATAGAAATAAGAGCTTTGGCATAAAGAGATATATTGAGCAGATATGCTTAATGCAGCATTATTTATAATATAGCAAAAAGATGGAAACATGCCAAGTATCCATCAACAGAAGAACTGATAAAGAGACAGGTACATTTACACAGTAGAGTACTAGGCAACATTAAAAAAACAATGAAGAATTCATTGAATACTGTGTAGCACAGATGTATCTAGAGAACATTACGTAAAGTGAAAAAAGTCAATCAAAAAAGGACAGAACAAATGCTATTAAAATATAAAGAAACAAAAAAAAATATAAAGAAACATTTAGATAGAATCATTCTTAGATGGTTACCAAGGCTTGGTAAGGAGGAAGGAAATTAGTAAATAGATAAAAGTCACTCAATAAGATAGATGAATAAAAAGACAATATTCAATAAAGGGATAATCTGCATAGTATTAAAAACAAAAGAAGACACAGAGAAGTTCAGAAAGGTAAATAGAAATTGGAATTACAGAGTTTTAGTGTTGTTAGGGGATATCAAGATGACTACAACTCATACTGATCTTTATGAACAAGAAGTCTGAATCTTGCCCTACCCTGTGCCATTCCCATGATCTCTGCCATACTGAAGCCCATTGTTACAGTCACTGTTTCAGTCCTTCTCATTGAGGTTGTCTTCTCTTTTGTTGGCCCTCTACTTGTCCCTTTGTGATGTATTTTTCCAAGGATTGGTCCCTCCTGATAATACACTCAAAAGTATGTGAGAGGAAAGGGGAAAATATGACTATACTGTTAGCATAGAAAATGATGACATGAACAAAATGTGTATGAATGGTTGAATGTAAAGTTATTTCATTTAGTGAACTTTCACTCAAATCACAATAAAAAACCCAGCATAAATAAATTACATAAATCATAAAAAGAGATAGTGTTTACAGAGACCAAGTTATTCCTTAGTAACAAATTCAGTGAATGTGTACAATAGGAGTATTACTGTTACATTGAACATATGCATTTCCTAGTGGTGCCTATTCTATATATGATAATACATTATCAGTGTAGGTGAATTCCTACATTAAAGACAAATTTCAAAATTTACAATACATATTTAATATGTTCATTTTTATGTTATATGTACTTGCGTAACTGTAAAATAAGACATATTTCTTCCTTTCTTTATTGCATAACTACCGTATGGTACATATCAAACACAGTGCTATAATTATTTGCTTTATGGAATAGTCCATAATATCAGTAAGTGGTTTGGGTGACCAGATGTTGGCAGAGAAAATAAAGGGCATATTAGTCATGGCCAGCCATGCAGAACCACAACATGGACAATGTATATTTTTAGCCTCATGTTACAATTGCTAAGATTAGCTTTTGCCAAACTTGGTACACAGTGGATGTTTAAATTTGTAATAAGCAAGTGCTTAAAGATATTACGCAGACAGTAACTATGATTAGCATTAAACTCTGTAAAGGAGTTCTACCTCGTCCTGCATAGTTGCTCTAAGTTAGAACTGGTTATAGGTTCTTAATCTACTTTTACACTCCTAAATTTTCCCAGTTATCCTCTACTAAAGATCAAAAGACTGTGGAAAAAACAAGTGCTTGTCTAATGAGAAAAAATGGTAGAAACAGAGAGAAAAGGTGGTATGGTTACAAACCCAGACTCTGGGACCAAGCTATTCATGCTCATATAAAATGGGCCTGCCATGCACTCAATATGTGGTGCTGGGAGAGTTACTTAATCTCTCTGTACTTGAGTATCTGTATCTCTAAAATGGAGTTGTTTTGAGGGTTAGATTGCATGTGTTAAAAGCATAGCACAGCATCTGGCACACAGAAGGCACTTCTCTACGTTTGCTATTTTCACTGAGCTAAAATTTACCATGACATAAAAGGAAGATTTTTCTTAAAAATATTCAATAAATTCTATGAAAATCCTTTTGATAAGCATTTATTGAACACTTTTTATGCTATAGTCACTGGATTTAAAAGCTCAAGTGTAGAGCAGGAAACAAGACAAAAGTCCTACTGGCCTAGTGGTAAGCTGAGCTGCAATCCCAAAGGCATGTGGTTCAAATCCACCACCTGTCCCACAACAGAAGGCTGGGCAATCTCTTCCCATTCAATTAAATGTCTCTGAAAATCTGCTGGAGGGTCAGCTATGGGTGGATTCCTATTCAATCATACTCAACAGCAAAAATCATTGTCATGTAGCTTAGAGAGGAGGAAAGAAAAATCTGGAATAATAATTATTTAAAAAACCCACTCATAAATAAAACAACAAGAAACAGATGAGGGAGAAAACTGTTTAAGAGGGAAAATTATTAGGGATTTTTGTCATGACAGGAGTCCAGAGAGAAGGCTATATAGTGGAGTGAACCTGGGAGGAGGGACTGTAAAACAATGAAAGAATTTTTCTTTTACTTTTCCAAGAGGGTAGTGTACTACAGGGGAGAGTTGGGAGGGGAGAAAAATACAAAATGAATGAATGGGAATCCAAAGTATCTGTAAATTTTCATTGAAATTAATATTAAATTTTTAAAAAAGAAAAAGGAAAAAAACCCTCAAAAAAAGATACTGAGTAATTAACTAGACTTCAATGTCTATATCTAATATGATCTCTAACTTTTTAATTAGCAAAAAAAAGAAATTGCATTTTAAGAAATACAATAAATGAAACATACAATATCTCATGTGTTGATGTCCCTAGTAAGAAAAAAAATACCTCTAAATGCCTATGTTAAAAATTAGTTTACTTGATAATATTTCTGAAATACTTCTGCATCTTAAAGTCACTAAAATAGCTGCATCCACTTGATGAAGGTGCCTATGGATAGTCAGAACCACAGAAAGGGAATTGCCATGAACCACTACTTGTCTAAGAGATAAAACACAGATTTGGACCCCCTGAGTTCAACCACTAACTCTTGATGTGACTGCTAACAGGCTTTTGAAACCCTGATTTAGGTATCACAAGTTAAATCCGAAAACAATTTAGTCCTTTCCCTGAAGAATTTCATGTAATCGTAAAATAAGACTGAAATGTGCTATATATCTCATCCTTTATGCCTGGAATGGAACTCATCACCATAATTAATCTCAGCAAAACAATAGAAAGTTGTAAAAGATGAATAACAATAGAGAAGTACACTCTTCTTACAACAATCAACCATTCTAGGTCAAAGGTGCAGCATTTGTCCAAGGGAAAAATGCAGAGAGCAGGAAGAATTAGAAAACAAAGAATAATGGAAAACAGGGTAAGCAGTGAAACAAACAATTTTGCCTAGTTAAGATTGCAGTCATTGCCACAAAATAAAATAAGTATGAACTGTTGAGTGGAAAACCAAATTGGTCAATAAACTTTCACTCAAAATGTATATGGATTATTGAACAGAAAATCTATCTGCTCTGGAAACCCTTTACTCAAAAAACAAAACTGCTCTCTACACACAGGCAATGCTGAATGGTACTAGGGGAAAAAAAACCCAGCATTGTGTGATTGCAATGAGCTTACATGTTCTTTTCATTTTCTGTGATTCCACCAGAGACAGCATGTGTTTCCAACTTCCATTCAGTATTTAATATCCAAGATAAACAACTTTTTAGAAAAAAAAAACTAAATACTTTATATTAGGTTATATGTTTGATCTACATAATTCTGTAACAATTTAGAAAAACTATACCTCACTCTGAAGCTGTGTAACTTCTCTTGCAAAGACACTGTCAATTGTGGCTGGCATCTGCTTATAGAGAGAGTTGGAAAGATCTGTCTTAATGGTGCCTTTGTACTTGGCCTGGGGGAGAAAAGAAAACAGGGGAAAAGAAATAAACATTCCTTTTTTAGTTTATTGTGAATATACAAAGAGAATAAAAGGAAACTTTCCTCATGAACAAAACTTATTTTAAAAATCTAAAGACCATTTTAAATACTACATCCAACAAGCCTATGCTTAAGAGATTATAATAGATGTCATTTATTATGGAGAAAGATTTAAACCAAACAAACCATAAAATCATAACTGCTTTCCATTTAAATGCATGCTCATTTCTAAAACTTTATTTATATGAATAGAGAGCTTCATCTGATTGGTCAGTGCAAGATGAAAAAAATCTTGGAACAATGTAACATCTGAGTTGTTGAAGAAAATACAAGTTACTAGAACTGTCAAGAATCTGAAATCAAAGGATCACGTTCTTTCATTCAAACTTTCTTATCCTACTTCTAATAGAGTGAGTAGAAATACTCCTGGATGCTCTTTTGGAGAAAGATGGGTAATTTCCTCCTGTGGGATTTACAGCCTCTAAAAGCTCAATGGAGGGTCAGCTATGAATCAGTTCTGACTTGACAGCACGTAACAATGGTAGTGAGTGATTACTGTTGTGTTAGTGGCTGTTGAATAGGCCCTCACATCATGCACAAGGGAAAGAAATACCCAGATCTTTGCTACTCCATGATCAGCTGCAGACTGGGCCATTCTGATATAATGGATTTTCACTGGGAGATTATTTTGATGTAGACTGTCCAGCTTTTCCTTCTAGTCTATCTGAAGTAGAAGGTTCTGTAAAGATCTTTTGGCATCTTAGCAGCACATGAGCCTCTCCTGATGAAAGGGCAGTGGCTCCTCCTGAGAGGCACTGGCCAGGTGGCAAACTCAGATCTCTCTATGGAAGACAAGAGTTCCACGACTGAACCATTCGGCCCCATGCAATTGGCAATGCAGGTGCTTTATATTGTTCCTGTGCTGCTCCTTCCAACTCTGTACTATCCCTACAAAGCAAAGTCACAACTCCTAGAGAGAAACACTCACTCACCGCTTTGGAAAATTAAGTTCAGGGAAGCACAACAGATTGCTCAATTCCATTTTTCTCCCTCTATAGTTAACACCCATCATAACTGAGAACACCAAGGGTTTCTCTGAATAGGCAAAAGTACATCACTAAGAAGCAGCAATATGTTTTTCATACACTGTAGATAAGTTTCTTAAATATTTTTAAAAATGCTATTATTTACAATAAAGCAGGAGTGGCATCCACTTCTGTAATAGCTTGCCTCCAGAAACCCTATGAACCTGGAGAAAGGATGAAAGTTATGCAAGTGTTGAGGACTTTCATTCACAGGGTCGCTGAGTTGGCTACGACTTGATGGCACTTAACAACAACAACAATTACTTAATAAGAGGCATGTAAAGCTCCAGAAGCATAGTCTGGAGGGAATTGTACTGCTAACACAAAGGTGGCTGGCTTCTCTCTGGTAGTTTAAATTCACCAGTGGCTCCATTGGAAAAAGACTGGCACTCCTCTCTTGAAATTTACAGTGTCCAAAAAGCCAATAAAGGGTTAGCTATGAGTTGATTCTGACTGGAAGGCAATGAGTTATTACTTAGTAAAAGAAGTTTTATCAATTATTCTCCATTCTTTTAATATTAGTAGAAATAAATTTTAAAAAATCATATCATATTGAACTTTTTCCCCCAACATAACTTATGAAACACTAGAGGTCAGCCAATTACACTACTTTATTTACAAGTTTCTCCTTTTTAAATGATCTGCTCACGGAACACAGTCTCACCTAAGAAATCACTGTTAACATTTTTGTGTTTCACACTGAAACATAAATTGCAGTTTTAAATCCTCTTAGAAAAATACTGTATGATTTTTCCATCCAGAAAAATAAAAGAATAATGAAAAAAATATGACAATCAGGAAAGAATAAAATAGATGAATGGGACCTTCTAAGATTAAAATCCCTATTCACATCAAAAAACTCCACCAGAGTAAAAAGGAAATCCACAGGCTTTGGAAAAATATTTGACAATGACATATCTAATAAGGAATTCATATGTAAAATTTATGGAATATTCCAGCACCTCAACAAGAAAAAGATAATGCAATAACAAAAAGGGCACAAGATATAAATAGACACTCACCAAAGAAGATTCAGATGGCAAACAAACAAATGAAGAAATGTTCAAAATCTCTAACTACTAAAAATAATACTCATTAGATGGCAGTCACATAAGTGAGGGTTTGGGGTTGTATTTGATGTGTGTTACGGTTCCTGCCCCCCATCCCCAAGAAAAGCAGGTTTCAATTGAAATGTTGACCAAGAGGCTTGCTTAAGCGTGTCTTTAAAATCCTACTGTAATGAGAGGTTGGGTCTGCCGGCCGGCCTGAAGCCTCCACTCTAGGAGTTGGCTCCTAAGTGTCTCTTGATGACCATCACATCTTCATGGTGGTCACATAAGGGAAGTTTTTAGGGTCGTGTATGATGTGTGTCATTGTTTTATTTAAAGAAAAAAAAAGAGGGTGTCAACTGAACTTTGACCAAGGGTGGAGGTCTGCTTAAAGGACATGTCTTTAAAATTTATTAATTTTAGGATGAGTATTCTTTAAGTGACACAGCAATCACCTGTGTATTTCCTGTACTGAGTAACTTAGAGTTGCTGTGATGCTGAACACTGTGCCATAGTTGTGTCAAATACCATAATGGTTCCCCATCATGTAGAATGTTTAGAGGAGCTTCCAGAATGATTCAGGTTGGGAAGCAGGAGTGACATCTACTTCCTAAGCTACCTGCCTCTAGAAACTCTGTAACTCTATGAACGTACAAAACCGATAGAACAGAGTTCACATCTTTTGTGCAAGGGTTGCTATACGTCTTATTTGACTCGACAACACTTAACCACTGTTAAATGAGACTACTGTTGTAACTGGAGAAACATTCTTCCACTTTGTACAGCACTCTTTGTCAATGTGTTGTATGAAGTAACCTACGTTTGCTGTGATGCTGAACCTTGTGCTATTGGGGTATCAAATACCAGGATGGTTTCCCAATGTGGACAGTGTTTGATGGAGCTCCCAGTTGTAAAACAGGTTTGGAAGCAAGAGTGGCATCCACTGCCTCTGGAAACTCTATGAACTTGGAGAAACAACAATAGCTATGGAAAGGCATTAGATCTTTTGTTCACAGAGTCACTATAAGTCGACCTCAACTAGACGGCAATCAACAACAACAATTTACTACTTCTCCTAACTACTACTATTTACTCCCTAAATCCATAATAACTTTAAGATGATATCTCACTCCAGCAAAACAGCAAAGTTCAGCAGGGCACTATCTAAAAAAAAGAAACCTAGACCATTTCTTATTCTGTAGTTTCACAACAGATCTGCCTCTGGAACTGAATCTTATCCCCTTCGGTTACAGTTTAAAATTATTTTAATGGTAAATTTTACTTATTCCAAAAATGATATTCAATATTTCTAATATTTCAATACATTTAATCATCTACTAAAGAAAATAATGGAAAAGCTAGTAATAACTATTTTCCCAGTGCTTTCTATTTATTACATAAAATATTCCTTTTCAAGATTAATCCTGCTTTTAAAAAGGGGGGAGTTGGAAGTGAGTAGTATAATCTATTAAAATTGTTATACACATCTCTGTGATGTTCCTCACAACATTTATTACACAGCACAAAGTGCCAGTCATTCTTAAACACGGCTGTGCATTAAATCTACAGGAAACACCACAAAAATATTCACACCTAAGGCACCATCACAGACTAAATCAATACTTCTGGAGTGCAAGGCCCAGGCACTGTGTTAAAATCTTTTCCCACTCTGATGCAGCGGACTCTCATCCTAAATTATTAAGTAGGGATTGTGGTGAGGGTGGGAGTGGAAGGGAGAGAGGGGATCACAGAGGTTTGCCAATATTTTCCCTTTCTTACAAATTCTGATATAACCTTAACTATCCCTCACTGAACCTCCGTCTCATAATTCATTTCCTAAGCCAAATAATTTAAGTTCTATTATAAACCTAATTCTGAGAAATTTCAAGCAAGATAATTATGGAAAGAAGTACAGAGAAGACTGAGGGGATAGAATGTGAAGGCTCCCTCTGGGTTATCTTGAAAACTATGGTCATATTTCTTTAGACATACACAGTTTTTATTAGATATTATTAAGTTATATAGTAAGGTGTATGTGACCAAAATATCCTTTTCTACATTTTTGAGGAAACTGAAGTCTTAAAGCTTAGATTGAACCATATGAATTTAATAACGTCTACATACAAAAGTTCACGTGTTTTAACTACTACCAAATGCAAATAAAGCAAAAGAAAGTAGAAGGCTTTTATATACAAACATGAGGAGGAACTACATTTAAATAATCATTTTTCTTCAGATGATTCTTTTAAGAAACCAATGGCTATTCTACGAGGGATGAAAAGGACTCTTGCTAAATAAATTCAGCTTATCTTTCCATATATATCATAACAGAAAATAAAATGTAATAGCATATAATAGTAATAACAGAGCTCTAATGTTAGTGAGAGCTACAACATAAATATCTCAAATATTTTACCCCTGCTCTTTGTGCCTTGAGTACAACATGTGACTACCAGTAAAAAGCAAACTAGACAAACTCAGGGTGCTTGTGGTTTAGTTTGCAGGGAGATGTGCTAATAAGCCAGTGGTGGCTGTTCAAATCCAACAACGGCTCTGTGGGAGAAAGAGAGGCAAATTAAAACCTCCTGAAAACTCGCTGGAGGGTCATTAGGAGTCAGTGAAGCAAGGGGAAAAAACAAAGGAGCTGCCTTCCATTTGGATGCCACTCACAGCTTCCCTGCATCAGGTGTCTAAGACTCCAAATCTGTACAGGAGACGACTACATTGCCTTCTCTTGAACCCCCGGTGGATTCAAACCACCAACCTTAGGGCAGCACAATACACAGCATACTATGAGGCTCCTACTAGTTAACAAAAACAAAACCAAAACAAATAAAACAAAATTCTCACTACTGCTGCGTCAGAACCAACTCACACCTGACCCTCCACTGGTCTTCCGAGGCTATGAATCACACAGGAGGAAATTTCCCATCTTTCTTTTACAGAGCTGTTGATGAATTCAAACAACTGGAGAATCCCACTTTTGAGTTAGCAGTGCAGTTCCCTACAGGCTACCCCATCATAGCTCCTGTTACTAATAAAGCACATTATTAATAACCATCTAGTTTCCATACCATTTAAGAATAAAATAAATCACCTAATTACTGCGCCAACAATATATTGGCTCTTCAACAAATCACACATACTAAATATAAATTTATTAGTCTGCAAAATAACATTGTTTATAAATTAACTGGATAGACAAATTATTATACTATAAATGTTAAAGTAGTTGTCTTTCAAGTAAATATAAAACTATAAAGGGCTCCTGAAATGAGGTTGTACAGATTCATTTCAACATTCAATGGTTCCTTCAAAAACACTCAGAATTTTGTGCCTAGGCTTTTACTTATATAAAGTGAAAAAAAAAATTCAAGGCATTTTAGAAACTTTTGTTACCTTACCTCAGAAATAAATGCACCAATATTTTTCACATGGTTTAGCATAGGAGTATCTGTCACAAATGTGCACTTGTCCTTCGACTTTTTATGCTCTTCTTTATAATGGATCTTAGAGAATCATTTACATATGGAGAGAAAGAAGAAAAACAATTTTAATGAGTTTATATCAAACAGAAGTTTGAAGGTGATAATTCTGTTTTCTAAAGTGTGTACGCAAAAGCACAATGATCCTCTAAGCAAGCCAAATATAGTAAATTGATATCCAGCACAGAACTGAAAAGATTAGGAGGCCTATTGAGGAAAGACTGTTCTTTAGTTAATGGAAGATGCAGTCATCTCTAGGGATCAGAATTATGTGGATTGGAATCAAGGTGATTATGCTTTGACCAATCTCCCCAGGGAAGTCATTATATACTGACTATTATGGGAGCTACAACAAGAAGGACCTCTGGTAGCAGAGTGGTAAGAAGTAACAGTGCCAACGTAAAGGTCCATGATTTGAATCCAACAGCTGTTCCACAGGAAAAAGATTACCCATACATTTTATAGCCTCTGAAAACCCACTAGACAGTCAGCTCTGAGTTGGTTCTGACTCAAGGGTACATAACAATATTGTTGTTGCTGTTAGGCGCCATCGAGTTACTTGTGACTCATAGTGATGTGACCCTGTGTACAACAGCTCTGAACCCTGATATATCTTGAGCGAATTTCATTGTCTCTGATAAACCTAGCCCCATGCCCCGGTCACTGAGTCAATCCATCTCATCCAGGGTCTTCCGCTCCTGAACTGCCCCTCCACCCTCCCAAACATGATGTCCCACTCCAAGGACTGGTCTCTCCTTGCAACATGCCCAAAGTGTGTCAGATGGAGCCTCAGAATCCTTGCCTCCAAAGAGCAGCCTAGTTTCACCCTCTCCAGGGTTTGCTCTCTTAGCGGTCCATGGGTATGTTCAATACGCTTCTATAGCACCGCAGCTCAAAGGCATAGATTCTTCTTATATCATCATCCTTAGTTATCGTTCAGCTTTCTGACACATAGAAAGTAATTGTCAGGTGCACCTTAGTCTCTAGAAACAGGACTGTGCCAGCAGTCTTTTATACTAAAAACTGAATCACTGCTAGTTAACAGAATCCTACTAAATTCATTTGGAGTGAGGAGAAAACAGAGGGTTATTCTGGGTTCAGGACCCACATAGACACAAAGCATCCAACAGCAGTCAGGCACTATGGAGCAGAATCCAGACTGTAATGTCATTATCACGCTAATTGCTGGCAAAGGGGAGGGCAGATTTTAGACTCAGTGTTTGAGAGGATGAAGGTAAAAATTTAAGACTATTAGAGAGGATGAAAGCAATGTGCCAGAAGATATAACACCCTAAAACAAAGTCATGTTTATCCATCCAAGACTATAAATATTCAGGCTCAAATAAAAGTGCCTCAGTTCAGATAGTAAATTGTACACACTCCCTAATTAGAACCCAAGAGTGAAGTGCAAGTGTATATCTACCTGGTTTTAAAGCAACATGACTAATACTGATAGTGCACAGCAGCATTACAGAGTTTTTATCATTTGCAAACATCATCTGAAGAGTATTCTATGACCTGATATTGAGTCAGCTACAAATACACTAAAAAAAGGTTTTTCAAAATACCATCATTTCCATTTTTGTAGTTCTCATACTAAATGTCGACCACATTGAACATTTGCTTTAGTCATGAAATCAAAATTAGGACATATTCATCTTATCTGAGCACTAAATTGCTTTTTTTCTCTTCTTCAAGATTAACTATAATTTTAGGTTTCTGCAAATCACCCTCCTCAGTCACTAGTAATTAAACTGTTAATGGCAGTATGATAAACAGTAGGCTATTTTGATCATAAGGAGAGAAAAAAAAAGTATGTCCTTATATAATTAAGTGTGAGAGAAAATAACCTATTATTAGGCTTAAGTTTGACTCATTATTTTTATCTTTTGCTACCATCTCTTCCCCATCACATTCACATTCTTCCCTGTGCTGGGATGTACTTAGGGCTACAGGCCCCCTGATAAGCTCTGACAGAAGCAGAATGTTCCAAGCAGGAGCCCAGGATAAGGGTAAAGTATTTACTTCCTCTGCCACTTAAGCAAATACTTCAGGCATAAATGAGGTCTCTGCTTCTTTCTTGGGTTTCTATTAAGAGATATCTACAAGAAAGTGTGAGTATACTGATGAGTTATATAGTATGGATTGTTATTGTTTGTTGTTAGGTGCCGCTAAGTTGAGCATAACTTATAACGACTCTATGAACAACCAGTATGAACACTGCCCTATCCTATGCTCTTTTCTCAATCTCAAACACACTCAATCCCAATGCCATAGTCACTGTGTCAACTTACCTGATCAAGGGTCTTTCTCTCATTTGTGGCCCCACCACCCTTCCAAGCATGATGTCCCAATAAAAAAAAAATTAATTTACGTCTTTTACTCAAATAGTGAATACCATATACATGTGCATGAATACCCTTCATATGCCAGGTTAATGGGTAAAGAAAGCTGAAAGGGCCTGTATGCATAAACTGTTGAATGGAAAACTAATTTGCCATGTAAAAGTTTCACCAAAATAATTTAAAAGAAAAGAACTAACATACTTTGTCAAAAAGAAAGATGAAAGAGGACTGCATCTGTGAATGGCACCAATTCTTGAGTAAAATAAAAATCACTGAGTAGAAAACAAACTTGTAGTGTGTGTTGTTAAATCAGAATGGTTACACAGCTAGTCCTGCACTGGGTTGCCAAAGGCAGTAAACTGCACGGGAGGAGACTGCCCATCCTTTTCCCGTGGAACAGCTGGTGGATTCAAAGGTTCTGCCACCAGAGCCCTCTAGATAACCAACTTGTTACTGAGTGAGAGGTCAAGCTGGAATCCACACAACCAGTGACCCTCTAGAGGGTTTTCAGAGACAGTAAACTGCATAGGAGGAGATTGCTCATTCTTCTCCTGCAGGGCGGTTAGTGTATTTGAACTGCATGATTTGGGATTGCAGTGCAGCTTCTTACCACTAGGCCACCAGAGCTCCTCAGATAATAAACCTGTTGTTGTTGTTGTTGAGTACCTTCAAGTCAGAACAGACCCATAGCTGACCCTCCAGCATGTTTCCAGGGACAGTTCATTGCACAGGCAGAGACTGTCCATTCTCCTGTAGAGCGGCTGGTATATTCGAACTGTGTGCCTTTGGGATTGCGGTGCAGCTTCTTACCACTAGGCCACCAGAGCTCCATCAGATAACCAATTACTAGCTGTCAAATACATGTTAACTCATGGGAATGACACACGTTTTTTACTAAAACTATACTCCAGAGGGTTTTCAATGGCTGATTTTTTTAGAAGTAGATTGCTAGGACTTTTTTCCAAGGCACTTTTGGGCAGAATAACCTTTTGGTTAGCAGCCAAACAAGTTAGCAGTTCGCTCTAATAAGTAGACTGCTTTTTTCCTAACAGAAGATAGGGAATTCTCATAGCTTACTGGTAAGGAGTTGTACTGGTAACCCAAAGGCACAAGGTTCAAATCCACCAGCTTCTCCACAGAAGGAAAAATGAGCAATCTGTTCCTGTGCAATTTACTGCCTCTGAAAACTGATAAAGAGTCAGCTGTGATTTAGTTCCAACTCAGTAGTACATAACAATAACAGAACACATCATACTTTATAAACTTAGGTTTAAAAAATGCCATTGAATTAATTCTGACTCAAGACAACTCTGTGAGTTACAGAGTCTAGAACTGATCTCTATAGGGTTTTCTCGTCTGTGATGCTTATGGAAGTGAATTTCCAGATCTTTCCCCCACAGCACTTCTTAGAGAGGTGAAACAGCAACCTTTAGATTACAGCAGTCAAGTACAAACAGCGTGTGCCTCCCAGGCCTACATTTTACAAGCTCAGGTAGATACCATCTATTGGCTAGATTGTCTATCCAACACCTTCTTTGCCAACAGAATGTGAAAAGATTCATGAGAGCACCTGACTACAAGATAACCAGGTCTCTAACCCAAGCTTGGGTGATAAATTGTTCTAAACCAACACTAATCATCTCACACTCTTGGCCATGAGATCTTAGCGGAAGCCATGTCAACACTCACAGTGTTGTCAGAATAAAGGGAGAGACTTGTTGGCACAGTCCTTTACTTTTCCACTTCCTTCTCCAGAGGGATAAAGCAATGGTGGTGTTATTAGAAGGAAAACTACAAATGAAAAGACTCTGAGACACTGGTTACACCCAAGGCTGGCCCTCCTATCTCTAGGCTTCATATATGGGAGAAAACAAGCAAACAAAAACACCAATTTATCAGGCCACTGACTCAGGGTTTTCTTGTTCCTTGACACCATCACTATGTCACATACAATTAGAGTTTAAAAATGAGATCATAATGCTGTCTATTAACTTAGTACAATCACCTAATGACCAATGTGGGAAAGTTTGGAGAGATTTCCTTTTCTAAACATTCTTAAAGAAAGCATCCATAAAGATTTTCCACAAACAAAACCACATCAGTTAAATATAGTAAAGCTAGGAAGAAAGAAGCTTGGCCCCATTGCTACTTGTTAATGAAGAGTTGTTATTGTTGATGTTGGATACTGTCAAGTCAATTCAAACTCACGCAAGACCCCATATTACAGAATAGAACTGTCCCACAGGGTTTCCTAGGCTTTTCCCTTTATGGGAGCAGATTTGGGTCTTTCTTAAATGGAGTTAACGTGTGGGGTCAAACCACCAAGCTTTTTTGGTTAGTAGCCAAATGCTAACCTCTGGACCACCCCAGTGGTTACCATTTTGTGAGCAAGGGTGCTCTCTCAGGCTCTCTAGCTCAGGCAGGGACTGCTCTGAAGGAGCAGCCACAGCATCTAGTGTTTTCTGCACTGGACAGATTTACTCACAACCAGCACTGTACATCTGCCTGGAAAAATGTTCTTAGTTTTGCTGTCATGCAAATGAATACCCTCAAAAGGCTGAAACCAAAATATTGAGTCTGAGGCTCCATGTGGAGTGGCCAAGCTTCCTTTGCTCAAGACTGTTATAACTAATTCACAGAAAAAAAAATACAAAAGACTCATTTTCCCAATAATTTCAA